TGATAAATTCCCCAAGAAAACATACACATTTGATGTGACAAAATGTGACAAATTTTTTGACGTATTGGTAAAAGATGGCCAACTGATTGTGCCTCCAAATGCCAAAATTCCTCCGTTAGAACAGTAGAAGAAAATAGGTTTTTGTAAGTATCATAATTTTTTAGGCCATAAAATCTCACAATGTTTTCTTTTCAGGGATTTGATTCAGAACGCTATCAAGGATGCTAGACTTAAGTTTGGTGACAAGGTAAAAATCCAGATGAAGATCGACAGTGATCCCCTCCATGTAGCAGAGACAAACTATGTTGAACAATTTGATGTCAACATGGTGGAGATGGTTGATACTGACTTGAGCCAACATGTAGAAGTAGAACCAAAATAGGTTAATGAAGCCCTCACAAATGAAGTGTTTTTTATGGACCCGTCAAAAACCCTATAACAAGTACCAACGAATCAAAGGCTGTTGAGGGTCCATTTGATCAAAAGAGCAACGTTGCTCACATAATTGTCACATATGTTGAAGATACCAAGGCTAATGAAGGCCTTAGGGTCAAATTTGAGAAGGTAGGGATTACTGAAAACCCTAATTCTGAAATTCGAAAGGAAAATACTACTGAAGGTCCCAACCTTGAAGTAAGCATGGTAGATTTAAACCAGCCTTCCCCTGAAATAGAGGAGGTTGAAAGATGCCTCAGGATGGAGAATGACCAAATGAGAAGTGGCTATTCTAAGAGTGGGGAAAGCCTATGTGACTACCTATTTCGCTGCCTTAGGCAAAATTCCGACATGTTGATGTGTCCAAGATGCAACATTGTGCATGATCGAAGGGCTGCTGCAACATATGAAAGGATCCAACAGGCCCAGAATGGGGGGAATTGGAGAAAGAAAGATCACATGCTGACAGTTTACCCTAAGACAGGGGAAATTTTGTTGGTATTCCTCGTGCGATGCCACAAAACAAATTCTGAATGCTTAATGTTCCATATGTGTGGCACCGTGTATGGTCGAAAAGATGCAGAAATATTTATGAGAATTCCATATTCCCAAGTTTGGGGAAGATGATTTGATACCAGAACCAGCTTCACTTTCAACAAGAGAGGGGTCCTCAGAAGGAAAGATAGCCCTTATCCAAAGGTGAATCGAAGGGTCACCTTCAAAATTCTTGCTGATATCAAAACAGATAGGGAAATCATGGGAAAGGAAGACAATATCAAAGGACTCCCAGGAATACGGCCAACTGGCTGGTCTGACAAAGATAATGATAATGTCTGAGTCCATATTCTTCGAGAATATTTCAGCTTATTTGGCTGAGAACAAACTAAAGATGGCTTTGGAGGTAGAGGTAAGATACACGGTTGTCAAAGCCAAAAATGAAGAGATAAAAACACAAAAGGGCCTGGGGTACATATTTCAAACCAAAAAACCCTGATGAACAGGTACCTATCGAAGAGAGTGACCAGAGGCTTGACGCCATCTATGATGATGAGCCTCTGGATTCGAAAAGGATCCAATAGCGTCGAAGGCTAAGATGTTGGTGCATGATCCACTTGAAGAAGTTGATCTAGGAGATGGAACTATGAAAAAGCCACCTTACATCAGCGCAAAGCTTGATCTAAAGGTTAAAAACAAAATAATCCAAATGTTAAGAGAATACAAAGATTGTTTTGTATGGGATTACGATGAGATACCAAGATTAGGCAGAGACTTGGTCGAACTGAAGCTGCCCATAAAGGATGGCAAGATGCCCATCAAGCAGACTCCCAGAAGGTTCGCACCATAAATATTGTAAAAAATAAAAGAAGAATACGAAAGACTGCTTCGATGCAAGTTCACTAGAGCCACCAGGTATGTGGAATGGATTGCAAATATTGTCCATGTGATTAAAAATAATGGATCCCTTAGGGTCTGCATAGATTTTCGTGATCAAAATGTTGCCACCCCCAAGAATGAATATCCAATGCCTATAGCAGAAATGTTAATTGATTCTGTAGCAGGTTTTGAATACTTGGGTGTGCTTGATGGATACTCAGGGTATAACCAGATTTTCATTGCAAATGAGGATGTGCCCAAAACAACCTTTCGATGCCCTGGGGCATTAGACACTTATGATTGGATAGTAATGCCTTTTGGGTTAAAAATGTTGAGGCAACCTACCAAAGGAAAATGAATTCTATTTTTCGTGATTTCATAGAGACTTTTATGCAGGTTTATATTGATGATATCGTTATTAAATTTGTGTCCTATGAGACTCATTTGTATCATATTCAACAGTCATTCGAAAGAATGAGGAAACATGGTTTAAAGATGAATCCTCTCAAGTGTGCTTTCTTTGTGCAGACAGGTGATTTCTTGAGATTTGTAGTTCACAATAAAGGGATAAAGATTAATCAAAACAAGACAAAGGCAATAATGGTAGTGAAAGCGCCACCTACGAAAAAGAGTTGCAGTCACTACTGGGAAAAATAAATTTCTTAAGAAGATTTATTTCAAATTTAAGTGGACGAACTCAAGCATTCTCTCCCCTTCTACGCCTGAAGTACATAAATTTCGAATGGAACAAAGAGAAACAAGAAGCATTTAATAAAATCAAACAATATCCGATGCACCCTCCCATCCTAATGCCCCCCTGTGGAAATAAACCCATGAGGTTGTACATATCCGCGTCAGATGTTACTATAGGAAGCTTGTTAACACAAGAAGATGATAATGGTGTCGAAAGGGCCATCTATTATCTTAGTAGGGTGTTAAATAATGTAGAAACTAGATATAGTATTATAGAAAAATTATTCTCTGCTTGTATTTCTATTCTACTAAATTGAAATATTATATAAAACTTGTTGTTGTCTATGTTTCTTTGCATTTTGATGTTATTAAACATATGCTTTCTAAGCCAATTTTGCACAGTCGAATTAGCAAATGGCCTTTGTCCCTAACTAAGTATTCACTAGCCTTCATGCCTTTAAAAGCAATGAAGGGACAAGTGGTCTCATACTTTATTGTAGACCATGTGTTGTACCCCAAAATTTTTCCTCCCATTTTTCATTCAAGATGCTCTCATAGGGTTTCTCAAATACTTAAAATGGCTCAGGGTTGGATCTGACATATTCTCTTCCTAAGCAGTAGGTCCACAATTAGGGTTTGGTATTTTTCAAGAAAAATTGAGTTTCCAAAGTTTCAAATGGTCTTCATTGTTATTCATGTATTCTCAATGATGTTTGTGTTAGTTTTCAAGCTTTGCATTGCAAGTTTGCTCAGTCGATAATTCAGATGACTGAAAATCAGTTGTATTGATCAAAAGTTGACCTTTTTAATATCAAATTCAAATAGTTGTAACTTCTTTATTATTCGATATTTTTGAATGATTCTTTTTGCGTATGACTCTCCTTGACGTTATCTCCAACTTCTCTTTACAAGTCAAGAGCTGATTACGTGCGAAAGGTTATCAGAAATTCGAATGCTTTAAAGAAATGTCATCTACAAATTTCCTTAAAGATCGGAGTCAAATTATGCTTTGAATGCTATGGATTTTATTTAAAAATATGGGTCATGTTTTGATTTGGAAAAATTCTCAACTTCTAATTTCCATTCATATCATGACGGGATTTTTCAAAGAGCCGTTTGATTATGTGAATTAAAGTACAAGTGCAAAAGTGAGTGATTACTTGAATTTGAATCAAGAATGGTTTCGATGTTGTGAAATTTTCTTTCTAGTACCCAATTCCATAAAATCAAATATCCAAGTTCGTCAATTAAATTGCAATATCGATTCAAGAAGATTTATGAATTTGGAATTTTGAGCAAATGCACCCTAATTTCTAGAGGATTATTTCAAGAATGCAAGAACAAAATCCATTGGGATAAATTTCATTTATTTGCAAGAACAAAGTTGCAAGATCTTTTTGCCTTACTTTCATTACAATTCAATATGATTTAAGAATGCAAGATTACAACAAAGCTTCATTGTTTAAATTTACAAGTGAATTGGTATACATTTTACAAGTTTCTAAACCTCAAAATTCAAATCACAAATTCACAATGTTACAAAATTCCTAACAATGTACTAAACTACAAAGGAATTTCTTCATCATCAAGTCTTCATCAAGCATTTCAAGTCACCCTTCATCAATTCTCCCTATAGTCCAATTTACTCGTACATGTAAACAAAAAAGAGAAAGTAAGCAAACAATCAACATGTGAAAAATTTCCAAGCAAGAATTAATGGTTAAAAGAAATTTGTATTTCATCATTAGGGTTGGCATTTGGAATCAGAAATTAAAAGAGGTTTTTGCAAATCACAAAACTTAGATTTCGGTTCACAAAAGGAAAAGAGGTTTACAAATGTTTTCACTGCCAAAAAAAGTCAAAATTGCCAAATATACAAGCAAACAAAAACCAACAGGCAGCAACAAGAAACAAACAGCAGCAGTGGCTGCAAGCTTAGCAGTAGGCTACTAAAATAACAAAAAAACAACACAAAATAGCAACGCAGGCAGTCCAAGACAACACAAAAAAAGGCGAACTGCCAAACAACTCAGCAAAACAGTGCAGCAGTAACATGTAACAACAACAACAACAAACAAAAACAAACGGCAACATGTGTAAGATAGCAGTAATGCAAGATAGCAATGGCCCACAAAACATTATGTGTCATCATTTTCCCTAAAAATACCAACCCTTTAGAAATTGTTGAAAAGTGACAGGTTTAGAGAGATATCACCTAACCCAAAACAGCCCATAACAGCCTGCTATGCTGCACCACAAACTTGTCACAAAACCTGCATTCTGCACTGCATATAACAATCCAAACCTGCCCCTAACTTGCACAAAAATAGTATAAAAAAAACGAGCTATACAAGAAAGCAGTGAGGCAGCATACAAGAATGTTCAAAATTATAAATTCCCCCTACAATCTTCAACCACCATGAACCAAATTCTTCAACCATAAACCTCACAACAGAAACCTCACTCTGTTAATCCTCAATCTTCAACCTCCACATACCTCATAATAACGAAGCACATAACACACTCGCAGAAATAGACACAACAACAAAATAATAGAACAATGCAAGAACCACAAAAATAGAAGAATCGATCAAGAGGAAGAAAAGAGAGTACCAAAAGGCTTCACCTCTACAAAAACGAATCAATCCGAACCTGCAACAATTCGTAAAACACATTATTTCACCTCTGCAAAATATTACCAATGTCCATGCTGAAGTCATCAGAATTAGTTAGACGCGACATCAAATCTGGAAAAGCTCAGATCAACATTGTGAATCAAATTATAGAAGAAGCTTCACCGAAAAATCTAGAAAAGTAGATCCGCAAACAATCTCCCGTCACAAACGCATCACTCAGAATCACAACTTCTACGTAACAATAACGTCACAGCAAGAAAAACTGCATAACAACCACACAGAAAAAGCATCACAAAAATTACAGAGAAAATTGCAAAGAAAACCAACAATCTCATACCAAATTTTTGTCTAAATCTCCCTCCAAACTCAAGCTCAATCTTCAGCCCTCCACTTTGCTCAAACCATAACTTAAATCAACATTCACTCAAAGTGTTACAAACCAAGTGTCATAGCGGAAGTCACACCAAGAAGGCTGTCATTTCTTCACCTTCAGCAGAATCAGCTCAATGCATGAAACACACCGTAATACAGATCCTCGGACCCGTGCTGCAGCCAATCACGCGATCAGCTGATCCAATTGCTGCCTCCACCCATACAAACTATCAACTGGATCCGTCGTTGAAGATCCGCTCCAAAGACGATAAGCACCATCTGACGACAACCGCGAACAACACCCTTCCCACCATCTACAAGCTCTAACCGCGACTCCGACCATCCCAGATCTTTCGGGCGAAGCCACTACGGTACCTCCGACTCTGATGCCACCTCGACAACTACGGTCAAATCACCAACTCTACAGCCATACAACTCGCCGCTATTTGCAAGGAACATGGAAGCTATAATTTACAGGGGAAACACGTTTTAGAGAAGAAGATGGCAAGGTTGTCTGCGTTTGTTGATTTTAAAAACAGAGAGAGAAAGTTGCTATGAGTTTCAAGTAAGTCTCATCTGTAAAGCCCTTTCATTTATTTTGTTTGTTATACTATTAACATTTTTTTGTTTTATTTGTTTTCTATGAAAATTATGATAGACATTAGGTTTACGTAAGCCCAAATAATCACGTTATTTACTTTCTTTTCATTTAGTCATAGCTTTTAGATACCAAAAACAATAGAAAAGATAAACAAAAAAATACCAAAAATATATATACCAATGACTTAATTTATTTATTTTCTAGAATAGGTTGTGATTTTCCCCTCAAAATCCTCATAAACAAAAATACTAAAAATTTCCTTTTTAATTTTTACTTTGCTAATTAATTTTATTTCATAGATTGTTGTAATTTTAATTAATTATTCAATTCGAGTTGGTTGTATTAATTGCCTATTTAGACATTTAATCGCATTGACGATTCGATCCATCCCCATTTGTAAATTTGTACTCCCCATTCCCGAAAGCTCTGTAATAGCGTAGAATTTTAATTTTCGCAATTTACGGTTTTTCTTTATACTGTATAGTAATTAGGCGTGTATGGAAAGATTTAAGATCAACCGCTGAACAACCCTAATCAAAGACAAACTAACTTGAATCAAACACGCTTTTCACACGTGCACCTCTAGGGTAACCTCGCTTGTTGCCTTAGAAAAATAATCATGTCCCTCGAATGTGGGACGCTTTAGTAAAGACCCTCGATAAAAAAGATCGTAGCCCCTCGATGACCCTTCGATGTTGCCTTCGGTAAACGATTTAGTCCCTTATGAAAATTGCTAAAGCGTCTTACAAGTTGCTTTCTATGACTGTAAGATTGACCCGCACATGTCCCTTCACATCCAATGATAGGGCTTCTTACCAAATCAAATGGTAAGATAAAAACATCTAAAGGAGGAGGAAAAGAACAAAGACCTTTCGAGTAGGTAGGACGTTCGTAGTTTCTCACTCACAAACTAAAACCATTTCCGCACTCACACTTTCAAAACAACTTTTCAAAAACAAACATCTCTTTGAACTATTTTCAAAACCAACACTTTGTATACATTCTTATAGAGACGAGAATCATTACAAAGTTTGCCGAAACAAAGGCGTTTTCAAAATATTTTCAAACTTGCACCAATCACAAACACATTTCAAAACAAATCATTTCAAAGTGATCAAGCAACTAAGAGTCCGTAGATAACTATGGATGAAAAGGGTGCTAACACCTTCCCTTTTCATAACCTACCCCCCCGAACTTAAGAAAAATATCTCAAAAGGTCTTTCCTGTTGTTTTCACCCTTTCCTTTATTGGATAAAAGAAAACTCGGTGGTGACTCTTGCTATCCGCAATAATTTCGATAAAATGCAAAACACCCAAGTCAGTTCTCCCACTGTATTACACCATGCATGGTCGAAAGTCCCCAAAATTATGTTGATCTAGAACCTTGAAAATTATTCTTTGATGGTTCTACTCATAAAGAGGGTAGTGGAGTTGGAGTTTTAATAATTTCTCCTGATAAAATTCCAACAAAACTCAAGTATAAAATTGAAGGCCCTCTTTGTTTAAATAATGAAGCAGAATATGAAGCTTTAATAGCAGGACTTGAAGTCTTGTTGGAGTTAGGGGCAACTAGAGTCGAAATAAGAGGAGACTCTGAATTAATAATCAAGCATATAACAAAAGAGTACAAATGCATAAAATAAAACTTAATTATGTACGTTGTTATTGCTAACAGATTGCTTCAAAAATATGAATATGTGGATATCAAGAATATCCCCAAAATAAAGAATAAGGAAGTGAATAACTTAGCACAAATAGCCTCAGGATATAAAGTTTCAAAGGATAAGTTGGAGGATCTCATCGAAGTAAGAGGAAAAGTAATGTCCACCAAGTTATCTCCATCGGACTTGGCAGTGTCGAAACTAGGATATGCTAATGAAGAGGAATTCAAAGTATTGGCTATCAATAGTCTGACAGATATAGATTGGAAAACTCCAATTATAAATTATCTCAAAGATCCTTCAGTGGACACAAAAAGAAAGATCAAATATCGTGTGTTAAGATACACTCTGATAGGAAATGAGTTGTTCAAGAAAACTCCAGAAGGAGTTTTACTTAAATGTTTAGGAGAAACTGAGGCATATTTGGCATTATCCAATGTGTGTATTGGGGCATGTGGAGCACACCAGGCTGGCCATAAGATGAAATGTGTAATAACCGGCGAATAATATAGAGTCTTCACCATTAATTTTTATCTTAACGATGGGTGAATAATGGAATAACCCTAAATAGATACATACATTCTAAGTCTTGACTAACTTTAGACGAAGGGAAGGTTTTAGGCACCCTTCATCTACCTTGTTCACAAGGATACTATGTTTTAGGTTAAAGGTTTAGGAATAGGGTTTTAGTTTTTTAACTAGGGGACTCGCCACTTTTTTTAAGTCGTATGCCTACGTATCCTCTTATGAGGAATCAGAGTCCCAATTCGTAGTTCGTAGGTTTGGTTGGTGTTTTTTATAAGATTGCGTAAAATTGATTTCGAATTTATCCTTGAACCTTGTCTGGGTTTGAAATGTGAGTGATCATAGACGCAATTCGTAGTTAATTTTGAAAGTAATTCTCCTTAATCTTGTTTCGAAAATATCTTGATTTTTATTAAGTTAGTAAAAAAATGGTTTTGTGGCTGGTTAGATGTTTTGAGTTAATTGATTGAGTATGGCAGGACACAGAGTTAGGGATATGGCAATGGGGACGGAGATGGAGAATAAATTTGGTGGCGGGACGGGGAGCGGGAAAGCATCCTCCGAACATTATTTGCCCCGTTGACATCCTTATTTGTTGATAATGAATTGTCTTTGTACTTGATATATCATTTATGCATGTAGATGCAAGTGTTAATGCATAGTATGTAATTATTTGACCAATGTATGTAATGAGTGACTTGGATACATATTGACGGATGTTGGAATTTTGAAACGCCAATGAATGATTGAGCTCTGATCTATGCTGTCGAAATTCGTCATATGGATAAGATGATAAGTATAATTTGATTCTAGATCGAAGCGAACTAATGAATGGATGCCAATGATTTATGCAGACTTGTATGATTTTGACTGATGCCCTATGATGGGTCGCAGTTGATTAAAGCGTAGAGGGGTTGCATATGAAACAAGGTTGCTTGTCACATGATGGTTGGATGTTATGCTAACATGATTTCCCGATACTCGATTTGAACTGGAAGATTGCTGATGTAGGAGAAGGATCCACTGGGGGATCATGAAAGTACATAGAGAGCATGCCCCTTTAGGGAGGGTCTTACCCCAATTTGTTGGTAGGATCTTGGAAGTGTTTCTCCTTGATATGAGCTTGGAAATAGTTTGATCATAGTATGAATGACCCCATTATTTTGCACTTTGAAATATTATACCCTCAATATCCAGGATTTAGAGGAGGTACTCTTGGATGATTTTCCCTTGATGAACTGTTTTGAATCAACTCCAATGGTTTTCCCCCAACATTTGAATTTGGAAAGGTATGCCCCCAATCTCCTGGATTCGGGGGAGGTACTCTTGGATCTCCATGAAAAATCACCCTGAGCATTCAAATCTTGCCGAGTTTGTATATAAAGTTGCTTGAAGGAGAACATGAACCCTACATTTCATAAGATGAACTTTGATATGCACTGCCCCAACATTCGAGTATTAAAAGTTGTCTTCCAATCATCAGGGCCTTGATAAGTTTGTTGAAAAGAGTAAATTAAGTCACACCGTGTTGTGATATGACTTGATTAAGGAATGCTCCTTCGAAAGGTATGTCCCTGATTGAACGGTGCTTTGAAATGTGACACAAGTAGATTGAATATTAGAACGATTGCCCCCAGTCAATAAGATCTTCATGTGATATACCCCTATGATCATTAGTCTTACCTATGACCATAAGGTTCTTCCTTATATGCTCTAGCTTCCTGAAATGGATCGCTTTTGGTTAAACCAATTTTTGAGATCTCCTTTGATGCTAAGTCTCTATTCGTAGATAAGTTTGTACATTTTGAAAAGCAATTATGTTTGATTCACATGCATGTTTTGAAATCGAAGTTTGTTATGGAATAGAAATGGATGATTAGAGATGTATATTCGAAGAGGAAAAATGGTTAGCAATAATTTCAACA